ATTTTAATAACTCCAAGAAACCGTGCGCCGGTCGTTTTGGCTCAGGTTGTGGCGTGAGTGGTTGGTTATTCACTGGATGACGCCACTTTGCCCGAAGTGTTTAATTTCGTCTAGTGGCTAACGAAGGTTTAAAGGACCACGGAATCTGATTTTCAGTGAGCGCATGAACTTTTAGAGGGATGCGTTTTAAAGGACGAGACCGTAATACTGGCTGATACGACTTTCTTTACATTTCGTGAATTTCCGGGCGGATAAGAGTCGTCAAACGTTTGGGGCCAAGTGGAGTGAAGTAACGCAATTAGAGGGAAATTAATTAGTTGTTAGAAACAATTCAACATACTTCAATTTTGAGTAAGAAACTAACTTCCATTTTGGAAAACTCCCAAGAATGTTATAAAAAATTAAATTTGTAACAGTTACTAATATTATAAAATCACCTGATCATTTGCAAAAATTTCGTACATTTAGTCTCAATTGAATGGTTTACAGCAAAGAATTATCTCACTTGGGGATAATGGCAGTGACCCAGTTCATACGTTTCAAGGCCCATAACACACACAAGTATTCCCCTCAGCTAGGAATTGAACTCGAGGATGTAATATGTAGTTTTAAGCAGGTTAATAACTGCTCTGCCGGATTGTGCAGAATATTATTTGCATAGACGCATCTACAATACATATCTTTAATAATTGAATTGGAGATAACTGTAATAATTGTATTTTTAGATTGCACATAAAGTAATTCACACAGCAAAAATCTGTTTCTTAAACAGATTTGTATGTTTATGTACATTCTTAAGGAAGAACGAAAATTGTGTGAAAAAGAAAGCAAGAAAAAATCTGAATATGTTTTCATATAATGATAGTTTGTTCGCGATAGAAGTTCTTAAATTCAGCTGCAGCAACGATGAAGTTTCACGATCTCAGTGACGTTTCCAACGTACTACAAACATCTTTTTCTCTTCACCACAATTTTGAAACATTTCAATAAGACTCATTAGAAATAAGAAATTACAATCTCTGTAAAATCTTTTTTACGAATCATTCTAAAATTATTTCTCGATTGGTAATAAAATATTCAAATATAATCGGATATAATTTATCAAATTTCAACGGTAATTTGTGGAGATTTGGGTTCTGAGTTATGTATATGAAAACAATCCCTGTGAAGCAGTTATACTGTTTTTGTGAAAAAATAAAAAACAATTTGTAGAGTTTTAATATATACTCATATTTCTTTTTTTGCTGTTTTTCAATATTTAAGGATCGTTTCTATCGTACTGTATATTTTTCGTAGTTAAAGAAAAATCTTTAAAGCTAAGAAATGTTATTTGCAACGCATTCTTTTGTACTTGTCATTTTTGGTCAATTTTTGGACAACAATCTATTGTCCCACGTGATTTATGGCTTAACTATCAATATCTTAATCTCTTGATATTTGTTAAAGGGCTTATTAAATAAAGTACTAAAATGTTTGCCTAAAACATGTCTAGTATTATACGCAAACAAATAGATATTTAAACCCTTCCATTTTATATCTACAAAATTATTTTAAAAAAATAATAATTGTGTAGAATTAAGAAATTTTCATTGTGGTATTACAAATACTCAGGCATATACCAGGCACAAAAATATTTATATTAACATACTCAGCAAGATCCATGATAATCTAGCGTAACACATTCGACCACTGCCTTGCCCCTCCCGAACACCACGCCACATCGCACAGGCCCGTAAACAGGCGCAAGGCCTCAATTAGTGCATTAGCCAGGCGGTGCTTTGCCTGCCGTAATGGCGCCCGAAGCAGGAATTCTGTTGGCCGTAGTGGTCTATGAAATATGAAGCGCTTCCATGTTGCAATCTTCTTGAAAGCTGCTCTCCTTGTCGCGTGGTCGTGAACCGACCGCACGTCGCGGTGCGTGGATTTAACTTGCTCTTGTTCTAGGATTAATTTGAAGTTTGTAGTTCGTTCGCGTGTGCTGTCGGGACAGGCGAGGAACTACGATGGACGGACGCAGATTAACGCGAGAGACAATGTAAAACTTTTGAGAGCTGTGGGCAGAACGTACACACACTTTTCATCGCGTTTTCTCTGTTGCAGTATTTCTTGCACACTAGAGAGTTCATGTTTTTAGAAAATGAAAGAACAACGTTTCAATTAGCAAATGAAGACCACTAGCAAACCACTTTTGTCTTGTTTCATTGTGTGAGAGTGAGGAAGTGATCCATGCCTAATGCTAATACCCTGTAAATTAAATTTTCAAAAAAGAGTTGTGATACGAGAGGTAAAAGCGACATTTTATTTTACGAGTAAAGAAGATTGTGACATGAGGCTGATAGGCCGAGAAAAATTAAACCACTTTTACCACGTGAGCCATACACCATTTTTACACAGCCTTAGAGAACTATCATTTTATTCCAATTCAAGAATACAAGTCACTTAATTATTCTCTATGTTAATTAAAGTAAATTGATGCCGACGTAGTCAGTCGAAGATGTTTCAGATTTCGTTAATGCACATAAATAATTATAGTATCTGTTCACAATTCGTTATTTCCCTGCTGACAATTCATTTCCAAAATTGCATTTATTCCTATAAATTAAGACACCTGTCTCCCGCTAACCTCGCCCTCCGTCCACTAATTCGCTCTCTGGCTGTACGATCTTGACTTCGCATAGATGAGTTTGTTATAAAGTTAACTAAGTAGTCGTATAACCTCGCGTTTCAACTTTCAGTGTTTCCACGCTTTTAACTAGCAGAAGAGAGATATGAACGCAGGTTATTTCTGACCTTCTTCGCCATCGCTTCCATCCCTCGACGCGAGGCGAACGGCTGATTTCTCGAATGCTGTCTCTGTGCCATGGACATAGCTTCTGCACGTCGATGCCTTCTCTCGTTCCGTAGTCATCGAAATGAAGTCAATATTCCCTGGGTCGAATGACGTGAAAATAAAGAATAGTAATAACAGACGAAATAAGAAATAAAAAAGTTGTAAGACAAATGCACCTTGAGTTAGTTCCTTATAGTACACGTTCAGTACGTTGAATCACAGTTAATATATACGCACGTCGTCTAATCAATAACGTAAAATGAAATAAAATATTATCTCTTCTTTGATTTACGTTGCGATCGTTTTAAAATTTTATTTAATAAAAGGAGTTCAGTTACCTATTTTCCGAGGTTTAGTTTCCCGGGCATGGAACAAGCACACGTAACACAGATCTTGCTTCCATTGGACGTTCTCTCCGAAGTGCGTTGCCAAAAAGGCCAAGTGTTTAAATTTTACGTTAAATACGCTTAACAAACTTACACATTCGGTGATTGGCTGAGCTAGTCAAGCTTGCAGTTTACGGTTGTCACTGCGTGAGCAGTGCCTTCTGTCCGTCTGTTATTGAACTAGGTCAGTAGATCGTTAGGTAGCGGCGGAATTCTGGGCGCTTTTGAGCGACATCATGTAATCAAAAAAGCAAGCAACAACGTTGCAAACGAGTGGATAAAAAGGGGTAAAATTGCACGAGTGGTTTGTTAAACAAAATGAGTGACGATAGAAGCCAGTTTCCTTATTTACAACCATTGCTGTTATATACCCATGTGTTACGGTCATTACTTTTTTGTTTCCATTTCAAAGTAATTTAAATATTAAGATAATATTGCAACAATTTCGGCATTAAGAGTGAATATGATGAAAAAATGTAACGCACACACATTAAAATCTAACGATTGAATTATACTTGATCTGATTCTGTAATTTCTAAAAAAGCAATTATTTGTAAACACCTAATATAAACTACACACACACATTATCAAATTTATAAATTGACTGATAATGCACGTTTGTCATAAATTACAATAGGAGAAAAATCGATCATAATAATAGTGTAGTTATTGTTTTTTTTCTAAAATAATTGAATGCAGAATATTGTAAACGGGAAAATATCGTAGTAAAATAAGGATTTAATAATTTTCTAGTACGAAAGTATTATACCCGAGGATATTGATCGCTTGTAGACGTCACTTCATTGCCTTCTCTATTTTATATTCTGATTACAATATTTTAGAATCATATATTCAAGGAAGAAAAACTTAATACACACATTAATAAAAATAGATGTTCACATTATAACATATAACGTAACAAACTGGTAAACGTTATTAACATTAAACTGAATGTACTGTATTTTCTGAAAGTGCTTACTCATGTTTTCTAGGTGGTTCGTGTCAGAAAACAGCTAAGGTAATGGTAGGTCTAACACCCTGAACTCAGTGGGCTGGAGGAACATGAGCGTGAGACCCATCCGCCGTGCCGCGTCGCCCGATGGCAATGGGAGCTTTTTCTACTCGCCTCCCCCCTCCCCAAGCGCAGCTGCCTCCTCCACACCCCTCAAAGTGCATCTTCCGTGCTCGCCTCTGCGGCTGCGGCCCAAGCGGCCCCTGTGGCCGTAGCCACCTTCCCACCCGGGCGCCCACCTTCACCTCAGCCCCGGCTGCAGCACCACCTCCGTCACCGTCCCACGCCCGCCTCAGCATTCCTCTATAGGCCTTCATCCCCAACCCCTTCTCCCACCCCCTCCCTCCCTCCACCCAGACGCATCCGCCACCTATTCTCTTCCGGCATTCCCCACCTCTACCCTTGCTCCATTCCTGCCTTTCCAATCAACAGCCATCGTTTTCCTTAACATCTCTTCCCTCTCCTCTCCCCCCACTCCTCCGCCGGTTGTCTTACGAAAACCCTTCCCTTCCTCTTACGTTATGCATCCTCCACCCTTCACTCCTTCCCTTCCTCCATCGATCCCCTCCCTCCATGGCTCCACTTGCTCCACCTTTTTCTTTGCCCCCCTTCTTTCACACCTATTCCTCCTCCTCCCTTGCCCTTCCTTAACCCGTCTGCTTCCTTCACTCCTTCTCTTCCTACACCCCTCTCCTTTCTCCATCCCTCCCCATACGTCATCCATTACCTGGCGCCTCTTTTTTCGCTATCGCCTCCATTCCAGCGCTTTTCCGATCAGCATCTTGGACTTCACCGCCTGCACCTTCGCTTTCCTTTCTGCTGCGATGCCTCTCCTCTCCTCACCCACGATACTATTCACCCATCAGCTCTCTTGGAAGCGTTCTTTCTCGTTGCACACCCACTCCATACCCTGTATTCTATCCGCCTCTCCATCGTCCACCCCCCCCCACACACAGCTCTCCAAACCTTCACCCATTGTCGCACTTGCTCGCTCCACACCTCTACCCCCACTCCCACTTCCTCCTCGCTCACACGCGCGCCTTTCTCTGCTGCCTCTCCTTCTTCCTCCGCCGCCCTCCGCGTCCCGGATTGTCTCTGCCCCTCTCCGGGTGCCGTCGGAGGCTCCGTCGCCTAAAATATTTACTCATCGCCACGGCCGCTTGGCCCTCGCGCCTCCCGCTGAATATTTGACGGCCGGCCGTTCCTTGATAGCGACCCTGCGAGTCGATGCCGCGTCTTCGCAGTCGCGCACTTCCTCGGCCGCCCTCGGCCACTGCCAATCCTCGCCGCCCACTCTCGGGGAGCGGAAGAGGCTCGCAACACGGCGTAATTGGCTGCCGGGACACGCGATAGAGTTGCTGATAGGGAAGCGGTATGTTTGATGCAACAAATCCTCACTGGAATGTCTTTCCATACTCCGAAGTCCTATTAACTCGGCTCTGTAAGAAATTTTCGGTTATTTTTGCTTCTAAAAAAGATGGTGTTTCAAGTTTGTACCGTTACCAACATGAACATTGTGAGATGAACCTTGAACAACAGCACTGTGAGAGGGGAGAGTGATAATGTATCTATGCTTTAAACAATTTACATCCTATAATTTCTTCTTAAATAATATATGCTTCTAATTGCTCATTACTTATTTTACATTATGTGTGTACATTATGTATTGAATTAAAAATTCATGAAATCGATTCTGCTAAAGTACTCAATAACAGTGGTATATTTTTATTTATTTCTGACAATAGTGACACCAAGAAAACACGAAATAAAATATTACATCAATATAAACTGTTATTACATTGAAATACAATAAATCTCATGAACTTTCAATTAGTACCAAATCAAAAGTACCAATAATGTAGTCTTCTCTAAAATTCTCAAAACGATTACATACTTTTTTTGTTCTTTAAGGTCTCATCAACTTCTAGGCCATTAGCCACCACTATTGCGTGTAGCGGTATGGTAACTATGAGCATGACACGACATCATGACGATGATGATAGGGGGTGAAAGGACGAACACAATACAACCATGCCCAATGCGAGGCTCGAAGCCGCGATCCTTCGGTCCGAGATCGCTACGGCACTAGTGCCCTAGCGATTTCGACCAACCGGACCGGTAAATACATACTTTGGATTCTTCAATAAAGGAACAAATATTGTGATGGTTGGTTATATAATTCACCTTTGAACCTTTAGTTCTAGTTATGTAATTTTGCACTAATAATCTCTGTTCCAAGAATTTAATAAGGATGGAAGGGGATATTCGCGAGGAAGAAAAGAAGATCAAGTTGTCCGTAATAATATGATTATCATAACATACATTCCACATTTTGAAAAACAAGGAAAATTCAATAATACTAATAATAATGCTATCATTAATTTTATTTTCAAATATATTGTTTCGATTTCGTTTCATACTATAAAACCTTCCTTCTTTCAACATAATAGTTTCTATTTTACATTTTAATTGCAAAGGAGCATTTTCCATCACGCACCTTTCAACCTTTTTATGTCATTTCAAATATTTAATTGCTTCTGCATATTCTCAACAATAGTTGTCGGTTCTTAATTACCGTACAATTCCTTTCAAAAGAGAAATTACCAAAAAGGCTTACATTAAAAAGTACTGCTGCCACGTTTTCCCAACTACCATTGAAGTTTCTTTTCTACCCAGAAAAAATAGCTCTAAAACATAATAAGCCAAACTGCTATAAACCCTTCACGTAAAATCTCCACACAAATGAGATTCTGAAAATATGAATTACGAATGTGATACAATTTTTTAAGTAAAATGCAAACCCATATGCAACAACAAATATTCTGAAAGATAAAATTTACAAGCCAGAACTAGAACAATAGTTATGTCATATATACTATTATGCGCCCAAATAATAATTTTTATTTCCATAAAATGTATGTTGTAGAAAATATACGAACTCTTATTATTCTGTAATATGAGAAATACTACCCATAAAATAATAGACCAAAGTAACTAATAAATACTCTGTTTAATTAGCTTTACCGAAAAAACATGGTGATTTGCTTAACTCTCATAAACTCTTGGGCAACGTATTTAGATCGAGATCATATAGTATTTGATCAAAATATCTTTGCGTCATTCCACTGTCAAAGCTCCAATAATGAGTCCCAGATTTAGCGATATCTGTTAATTGAGGCTGACGAAGTGCGCGTATCCTAGGATGACGATATACACTACGTTCTTTCCCTCACAATTTATCTTTAGAAGTTATTAATTCGCACAGAAACAAAACGCCACGTTTAAAATTGTGATTAGAAATGAGAAATGTGACGACGCTGTGTGTGTGTGTGTGTGTGTGTGTATCGTCCCGAGCTCCAGTTCATTGCCATAGTGCGCATTCGAGACGCTATATTCAGAAAGCACATTCTGTATATAGTACAAAATTATTGATTTAATTACTGATAAAAACACATTTGTATACGTAAATGAGAATCTAAGATATAAAAAGGCCTCAAATATTTTCCCTTTCATGTAGCTACAAACACACTGGGTACGGTGTGGTGAAGAAAATCACCTGTATTTCTTTACACCCCAGAATACCAATAAGAGAACTGTGGTTGAATCGCAGTCCACGTAAACCATCTAATCCCGTGCTTTATCTGGATGCGCTGGCGGCGCATTGCTTCCTAGAGCAGAGAGGTTCATTTTTCCATTGGATCACGGCGAATGCAAAGAGGAGGGGTGCCGCAAGGGCCATTTCGCCGCGCAACGCCGTCTCGGAGCGAGATCGGGCCTTTCCTTACGACTGCGCGCCTTGGAGGAGCCAAAAAAGTAGCCCTCGACGCGAATTAATCTTCGTAATGCCCCGCAATAAAACGTAGACACAAGCAGTTTTAAGTGGAAGCAACTTCCATTCTGCGGGCTTCATGTTCTACAGCGAGGGCGGGAATCCAAGACTGCGAAAGTACGCGAGAGCATAATTTCGCGGTGAACTGCTTCTGAGAGCACGCGTCACGAGTGACGCAACGTAAGTTGAAGGAGAAATGAAGGAAGGAGACGGAGAAACGTGGAAGACAAACATTAAATATATCCAAAAATATTGTTTGATGATGGTAAGTAAAAAGACATGCGGAAAGAAAAGAAAATAAAACTCATTCAGAAACATTCCAATTTATACAGAGACGTTTTAACCAGAAATGATACCACACACAATTCCCCTCTTGACAATATGTCTCAAAACAAACCTCTGTTACACTATGTTTTCCCAATTGCAACATCCATATATTTTCTGTTTTGAATAGTTTCCATTCGCTTGAAGTCCAAACAATTCAATAATAATTACACGATAACCCACTTAAAGAATATAGCATTAACTTCACATACTTTATTAATATAAAACTGCCGCACTAAAATAGCAGTGTACATTTTGAAAGATACTACATTTAAACGTTTCACTTAAAGTTCGAAATAAGCTAATGTAACCACACAGATTGAGAAAACTATTACTCAACATTATTTTTCTAATTTCTTTTTTTGAATATGCAATCCTTTTTTCTTTTTTACACTACTGCAGGTTATGCAAGAAGAGAATTATAGTTGAGAAGTTCCAGAAAAAAATCATAGAAATCGACCAAAACATTTATAATATACATGTATACACAACACACTCATTTCAAATGATATATGAGTCATTCGCACACTCACAATACATCACTATCTCTTAACGAATTGAAGATTTTTATGAGTTGAAAGCCTGCAAATAGTGACACGTTTTGTTTTCTTTTCCTTTTTCTAATCCCACCCCTTTCAGAAATGTTATCATTTACTTTTTCCGAAGAAACATGCGCGCAAATGTTTAAAATTGTTTCGCGCAAACTCCGTTTCAGTTTGAAAAATAAAATTACACTTAAAAATATCTTAAACGACGTACTTTCACGTGAGGTAAATATAGTTTTTGTAAACATAATATTTAAATATTTAAAATATATATAATTTTTTTTAAATGCAAACCTTTACTTTAGGTCGACACTTAATTATAAAAAATACTCATGTATTTCTACACTAATTTTGTATAGATCTAATAAATTTCAAAGTGGGACGCGCATTGATAACATTTAAAAATATTTTGTTCTCCGGCACGCGTACGCGCCGTGCTGTCCGCCGGACTCGCCACTCGGGCCGTCAATGACCCGGCGCATCGAGACGTCCAAACGTAATGGAACCTACCATGCTACGAATATTAGAAACACACATCCGGCCTCAAATGCACTCTCCTGACGAAATGCTATTAAGTTTATTTATAAATAACTGACACTGCTGCGTTGTTCGACGGAGTTAATAACCTCAGATAGACTTACAATAATATTAATACTATTGTCATACGCATTTTCTTAATATGAAAATCTCTAATTGCAGAAGAAGTTAAAATTTAGGGTTTTACCACTAGTATTCTTGAGAAGTTAAAATTTGATTTTTTGCCGTAAAAATGTTACATTATTGGAAAAACTTGTTTTCAAAGTTTCTTCTCGTGACGAGTCAAGTGATTTTTTTTCAAGTAAGTGAGAATTGCCCATACTTATTAATGCCTCGAATATGTTGGGAAGCGACAACGGTGAATAACGTGCACTGGTGTCCCTTCTGCATCGTTTCTCATGACACTTCATGAAACAAAAATAAAATGTGATGCTAGGAATTTTTATTGTCCAGGGTAATTTTTTACAAAATTCTTCTTTCTTACTTGAAGATGTAATCCCGTAACGGCTATAAAATAATGTCTTGGCTACTCTGCATCCTGTTGCGCTGTGCTTCAGAGAAAGTAGAAAATTAAAAAAAAACTCTGGATGCCTGAAACACGTCACGAATTCATTTCACCATTGCCAGTGTAAACTCTCAAGTATGTTTATGATAGTGTTAGAAGTAGGGATGCGACATCAATGCCAATATTTGCAAAATATCGATGTTTTTGTAGAAACATCAATGTATTAAACATCGAAGTATTAGCTCCGATGTTTTCTTGACATAGATGTTTTGTGATCGATGATTTTTTTGAATGTTTTGTTTCTGAATGAAAAATGGCCATGTTCACAATTCTGTAAAGTTAAAATATGAAATAACTGATAGTAACACTGTCATCCATGTGTTGGAACCAAAGGAATGCTGGTTGCACTACCTACAACGACCAAACTCTCTAGCCCGAGATGACTTCTATTCTATTTTATTTTGTCTTTATATTCATTTTGCTGATTTATATATTGCCGACAAGTATGCTGTGGGCGTAGGGCCGGCACCTTCTTCACATTCCGTTATTCGACGAATTAATAAACAATGTTTGTCAAATTAAATTTATCGCATACGAATTTAAGGTCAAAAGATACTAGTCGAGGCTAAATATTCGATGGCTTTTCATCGACGTATTTCCAACATCGATGATTTGTTATCGCTGTCGCCTCACTAGTTTACAGACATATTTTTCGAATGGGGTCAGTGCCTAGTATTAGAAATAAATTCCAAAAAATGTCTTTAATGCTGAATGGCATTGCTTGCAACGTTTATGTAAAGGGACCTTGCGACGTAGTGAAGGGGGAGGGCAACTATAATATTCTTAATAAAAGCTAGCCCTCAATTTTGATAGGAACCTACTCATTTAGCCAGGAAGTTATTTAAGTGGATTGATGATAATGTGAAGAACATTACCTTTATATATTAGCAACGCTGAATATTAAAAAAGAATATTGTAACAATGATATAGTAAAAAGCAGTAGGAGGCACAAAGAAAGTACATAGTCACATTTCTTTATGAAAAGTTCAATTAACCATATTCTCTGTAAAGTGAAGGAACAATATAATTAATTATATCACATACTCTCATTCGTATAAATATTCCGCCCGGTTACTACTAAATTGAATCAGTTTTACACTGTTTAATTTGCTTAATCAGCTACGAAGGTCGTATGTACATATCTATCACATAGTAAGAAGTGAAGAGATACTTCTGTTTTTTGCTCTGTGGAAGTTTATTATTGGTTATCGTCTTGTGCTGATTGGCACGTGTTAGAGGCGTGACCCTCTAGAAGACGCGGCAGAAAAACACCAAATAGACATGGATATTGTATTTAATTATTTAGATTCATCTCGGTGTCCCACTTGTAACTTATCACACATATGTAGCACTTTTTTAGATATTGCAATGGTATTTTGTTTTCAAATTTTGAAACTGTAGATTAAAAAAGTCAAAAAAATATTTTTAAATAAATTAATGAATTCAATACATACATCGAACGAAACAGAGTTGTTTGTGCTTCAAAGTCGGAAAATATTACATTTCTGTTACAATTACAACAAGAGTTAAAAGTGATTAACTTGAGTGAGGCGGGCATTTTATCGAAAAGTTTGAAAATTAATATAATCATGAAAAACAATATTTTGGAAAAAAGTGAAAAAACATATGTTTCATATTATTGCTTATACTTCTCAAAGAAAAAATGTTTAAAAATCTGGGACATCAAGGTCAAATTTTCCTTAAATTTGTAAAATTTGACGTGGAATGACCCATATGCGGTAAATGCTTTTCAATTTGGTACTTTCGTATATTCCTGTTTTTAGAAAATCAAGGAATAATTTTATTAATTGTAAGCAATATAAACTATATTTTTTGATAAAAAATAAGAATATAAGTATTTTATTGCTATTGCTATGTAACGTGCAAGCGGAATATACCATTTAAATTTATTAATCATTACGTACACTCTTATTTTATCTTGGGTTATAATTTCTATACAATTATACCACATTTATTTCAATTATGTGTAAATATTTTCTTTATAATGAAACAAATTTCTCAAATACAAGCATTGCTTTACAAAGAGATAATTAGGCCGAGACTAACATTTATGCACAAAATACGTGAGTGGGAAACAGTTTCGACATTATTGTAACGGAAACAATTACATCAAAGAACATATTACTAGCAAACTCTCTTGTTCAAACGATTTTGGTAAGCAGTTACTAAGGTGTATTGGTGCTTAATAACATTATCTTATCTCTTTATGAACGTCATTTTTTTCCGAATGATACAATTTGATTCCCCAAATAATATCTGACACCGTGCATCATCTTTTCGCGTGAAATGCAGATTGGAAGTACCATCTTTCGATCCAAGGTTTTTCCCCTCAAGTACCTCGCTATTATGACTAACTATCTACCATTTCAACAATCTCTTCTGAAGAGATGTTTCTTTCAGGCAAAATCACTTCATTCATCTTATCTCAAATCGAGGCCAAGTCAAACATATTTCACGTGGGCCACTTGATCGTACTTACAAGAAATGACCTTAAAGATAACCAATACTTCATGACGATACGTGACATTCAACGATATAAAAGGGTGTCAGGTGGAGAAACAGTTCAGTTGCGATCCAACATGAAGGTCATCGTATGCTTGTCTCTCCTCTTCGCGGCCGTTCTGGTAAGATCCTTTAGTAATCTCATTTCGCAAAATAACTTCAATTGAACGTGTTATGTTCTTGTAAAATGGATTCAATTTACTCCAAAATTGTGAAATGGTCTCAAACCGTAGAGTATCTCTTAAATTAATACATGCAATGAGAACACTAACATAATCAGATGAAAGTATTTGAATGGTTCGTTATATTATTGTAATTATCTCCTTTCTTAATTAATAATGGTAGGATTTAACTACATTGGGCTCTAAAATTATTTTCAGTTTTCAAACCTTATACTAAAACAAATGCGAATGACTAAGTTAGAAATGAAATTTACGTATTTTCACGTCAGCTTATCTAATTATTTATTATTTCTGCAGTACAATAATAAGCACAAAAGGTACATGTCAGTGACAACGATCTATTTTAAAGAAGACTCTCTTTTCACGAAGGTACTTCTCGTTGTAATCCTGAATGTGGCATGTTAATTCACTGACTTTGTGTTTCAGGCTGCCCCCAATGTGCACATCGACCACAGCAAGGTCGAGATGCACATCCCCACCGTCGATGAGATCGGTAAGCAACCGTTTTCGCTTAGGTAGTTGGTGTGCATTTGAATCATCAGAATTCCTCATTTCTCGCTAGAAAATACATAAAAATGTCTGCTTCAAAACATACGAGGTACTATTTTTATATAAATATTGTTCACGCTAATTAATATTGAAAGTGCTTCGAATGAAATCATATCGTGGTAATCATATTTGAATAGGTAGCTTTGATAAGTTAAAAACCTAAATTACTTTTCAATTAGTTAGACGTGTGGGTTTTTACAAACTTTAGTACAAATGAGTAGCGTTCTTTAATTGGTTTTCATGTTACTTTGACAAACATTTATTAAATAATAGAACAAAAATAAAAACGCTGCAATTTGTAAAATCTTTTTACTATTTAGATCGATGTGATTTTACTGTTTTTAATATAATAATTATAATATTTTTATTCTACGATTAGGAAACCGAAAAATTAAAGAATATGTTTAATAAATGTACTTTGAGCGGAGATAGATTACATCTGGTAAGAGTATGTGGCAAGTCCGAATAGCTAGCCGAGACCAAATGAAATAGAAAAGTAATACGGGAAAGTGTTTGCCATTCTGTAGCTCCCCTGGTTAATATTTCACTCGAAGTTCACAATCGCACAAGTTCACGTTTACATCGATAAAATGTTGAGTCGTTTTCTATTGAAGAAGAACGCTTGAGAGCGTGAATTTGATGGCGGCCATTTAACCCTGCTTGCGACCGCGCGGTCGTTCTGTCGAGCAGAAGGCGCCCCCAAGTACCCGGAGTCGCGCATCGTGAACGGCGCCACCGCCACCCGCGGCCAGTTCCCCTACCAGGTGGCCATGTACCTGGACGGCAGGAGCTTCTGCGGAGGCTCCATCATCTCCAACCGCTGGGTCCTGACCGCAGCCCACTGCGCCCAAGGGTACGTCCGCTTTCTGGCGCCCAGCCCTGCGTTGCTGGCCTTGTTTCGAATGCCTTGCACATTTCCTGTTGTGAGAGTTACGCCACGAAAACAAATAGTGATTCAGTAGAAACAACAAACAATTCTTCAATAATGGATGTGAAACGTCACGCGTTGATTATTGCAATTGGAATATAATACGTTACGTATTCATATTATTAATATCAGAATTTGAATTTTTTTCTCAATTAAAAATTTGTTTTGATTTTACCTCTACTTTTTAGCTCTGTTTTCTAAAACTTTTCCGCATATGTTTGATATTGTCAATTATCATACACTTCAACATAAACGAAAATAAGATTAACTGATTTCCTGAACTTAAAGAAGAGCCGCCACTGCGTTCGTGCTTCGCCTGCTTTCGATTTGAGTTAATGCTGGACCGTTTCTTCGACTTTTCGTTTCTTTCATAATACTTATGAATATATGTTCTCGTAATTGTACACTTTCCAAGAAACGCTTTTCTTCCTTTTTAAACATTTTTTTCTTTTATCCCTCCATGCTTTTATCCCCCTCTGCTTTACTTTATATTGAATCATTTCTCTTTTGTGTGTCCTTACACTTTCATATGTTTCATTCTTTTCTATATTATTTTACGTGTTTGATACTCTCTAATATCTTTTCTTTTAAATTTTAAATATTTCGAAATTGGCAGTCGTAGAAATAATTGTCTTATGTTGCTGCAGAATCTCCACCTTCACTGTGTACCTCGGTGCCCAGAACCTGAACAACAACGAGAACGGCCGCCTCATCATCACCACCACCCAGAAGATCGTCCACTCCGGATACAACAGCAACACCTTGAACAATGACATCGCTCTGGTCAACTTGGGCCAGAACGTTGCCTTCAACAGTAAGTTTCAGTGACTACGACATAATAAATAATCGTATTATATTAAATACGCACTTCCACGTTCAATGTTCTGTTTTATAATGATATACAAAACGCTTTTACAGCAAAAATATAATATGGATTTGCGTTTACATTTACCTGAATTAGATTCACATAGTTAATTTGCTTGATAATATGTAAATTTTTACACTTTCCAACAGCCATATTTTATTTAAAGATTTGATTTATTATATAATATTGTTAATTTAACTTAATGAATATGAATCAAAACTTTGCTTTGAAAGCCTTCTTTTGTTGAAATAACTATTTGGGGAAATGGCATGATTTAATTGGTTTGATTTGATTCGGGTAGATTTATAACATTCTTCTCGAAGTAGATTTGTTTTATTTACACACGTGCCATTTGCAGCCTACATCCAGCCCATCCAGCTGGCGTCTGGCTCCGCCTCCTACGCCGGCAACACCGCCCGCGCCAGCGGTTGGGGAAGGACCTCCCAGAGTGAGTTATCGCTTACTTAGCGCCTCCTTGTTAGTCACTTATCACCCGATTTGCACAGCCTAATTATTGCTAAACTTAACATATTCCTCTCCAACAGAATAGCCCGCAGAGCCCTCTATCTCCTTCGCTTATTTCGATGGGTTACTACCACAAGAGTCATTTACATCGTTGCTAGAAGTAACAGTAATGCATGAAATGACTTGTGGGTTGCATTTTCTCATTGATTTACCCTTTATTCCCGTCTCATCCTCACTCCATAGACGGCAAAGGGTTTGTTTCAGAATGCAATTCAATATGCAACAGATTTATTCGATACAACGAAGAGTTTTAGTGTTTAGCTTGAACATTGTGTATCCATTTTGTATATTTGAATTCGTAATAATTGCTTGAGTAAACCAGAATTATTACATTCCTTGATTAAATTTTCCAAATTAAATTTATAGATAATCAGTTTTCAAATTTTCGCTTTATTTAAAAATATAATGTCCATAAAATATTATATACAATTATTGAAGTACGTTTATAAGAAATCTGATTTCATTATATATGAACTCTGGAGACATTTAGGACAATACGTTTCTTGCAGTAGTTTAAACGTTATAATTCATACTTTTAAAGAGAAATTAAAAACTAAAAAAAGGTTTTCCTTTGCAGACAGCGGAGTCAGCAACTCTTTGAACTACGTGGACCTCCCCGTCATCACCAACACTGTGTGCGCCCAGACCTACGGCAGCATCATCGTCTCGTCCACCCTCTGCGCCTCCGGCTCCGGCGGCAAGAGCACCTGCAACGTAAGAACCTTCTCCTTTCCTTCCACGTTAGAGCCCGTGTCTATGCGCAGTTATGATTTCTTATACTTTCTAGCTTTTTCGTCATTCAAAGAACAAATTTCCATAACTGTTCGCACGTTCAGTGAGCTTTTAGAAAGTTGAAATTATTTCATAATATCATTTGAATCAATACTTTCCGTCTCAGATAATTATTATTTATTACGAAGCCTAGAACAGTGTTCTGGTCAGTAGTTAATCCTACCTTAAAACATTAAATGTGAAAGAAAGAAAGAAATAGGTGCTTGAACAGATAACAATCTCTTCAATTTGAAGAATGAGTGTAATCCTAGGGATCTTTTACAAGAGGGTTGTCTGTATAACAATTATAGAACCTTATTAACATCTTGAATGTACGTCAGGGGTTGTGCTGTTCAAAATTTCTTCCTTGATTGCAGAGAAGTAATTACTAGTTTTACGTTTATTCCTCAAGAGAGTTTCATTTACTTCAGTTATGGTAGGGGCTTAGGATCCTTACAATCCACATAGTCAACATTCAAGTCGTATTAGATCTAGTCCACAAGTCTCGAACTTGACCGTATTTCGAACACATCCACACACGCCGTTTTGTTCATTCGCGAATACAACGTTCATGCTTAATAGAATACCTTTACCCTCAACAGATTAAAGGAATCTGTATCCGACATAGGTTTCGCGCTCAGAAGTTACGGTTTCGTTGAAACACGAGCCCGTGTTCTGAAGAAAATATATCAATGGGTTAATAGTTCACTTATAATAAGAATTCCAGCAGTTGAAATACGTGTTTACCCGGACGAACAGACTGGTAACAAACGATTTTACTTGATGCAACAGATTTGTTTACCCAAGCAAATAGAGTGGCAAGAGTCGCGTTTACTTGGTCGAACAGAGAGGCAATAGACGTTTTTGCGCGAACGAGACGCATTTCGTGCGCTCTCGCCGTGATGAGTGCGTTTGGTGCTCCGCAGGGCGACAGCGGCGGCCCCCTGGTCGACCGCAACTCCGGCCGCCAGATCGGCGTGGTGAGCTTCGTGTCCAGCGCCGGCTGCGCCAGCGGAGCGCCCTCCGGCTACATCCGCGTCACCTCCTTCAACAGCTGGATCTCCTCCAACACCGGCATCACCATCTCCTAAGCCTACCACGCTCCTCGCCGATTTGGCCACCATTCTCGAAAATGTGAAGATTGGTACATGTCGGAAAAAAAATACAAAACCAACCCTTAACATATCAAATAAAACAGTTGTTTCAAACTATTACTGTGTTCTTACTTATTATAGAGTAATATTTTGAACCTATGCGGCCAATAGTCTACAATAAATCCACTTTTCTTTTAAAAAACCTTATGGCACGATTGAAGTAGCGGCTTGGTTCGGTATTTTGTGTATTCGGGTCTCATCTTGTTTGTTTCCTTGGATGTTGTGGCCATATTATCCGCTACGAATTTCCATACCCATTCTATTCTTTCTTCTCAGCTGTGTTGGTATGGCATTGGAGTACGTGGTAGAGCAGGGGTTCACAATCGGGTCGATATCGACTCACTGGGTGTCGATGAAAGTTTCAAGGGAGTCAATGATGACCAAAGGGCTGGTTGGGAGTCTACCGACAAATATTATCCGGCGGTTGAATGGTATAAACAAGGGTTCATTGTTTTCAAAAACAGTAATGTACTTCGTAGTTATGTTTTCTGATATAAAACAACAAAGCATAACAGTAGTGTTATAAGCAGAATGCCTAGCTGGCGAGTCCATCACAAAACGCTATTTATGCTGCTAATTGCTCCGGCCGGGTGCTCATTCGTTCTATCGGGCGCATCAGAGAGACATTCGGCCTATTGTTGAATCTGGCTAAATGTGAGTTCATTTGGCCGGAGATCCGCTCCCCGCTCACCCCGATTCGTTCAGTTGCATAACAAACTACGATCTGCGGATATTGTGATGCGTCAAGGGAGTTGCAACAGCGTTGCACCGATGAGACTTCCTTGTGCAAGAACATCACTTAAGGGCTGAGAGCCGTCAATTTGTTCATCAACAAAAATATTATAATTTATTATAAATTCACTTCTCGTCTTTCGTATCCATCGGTCACCCTTAGATTCAGGGACGTTGCCAGCCTGGTGTAACTCCACCACATCCTGTGCTGAAGTTAGCAGCCTGTAATAAGGACCTTCGTGGATAGATTGCCGGCAAAGAATAAAACAACAAACAAATAAAACAAATAATTAATTTCTTGTTTCTTGCGGTTAGACCGCTTTCGATTTTCTGCATAGTGGCATCTTTCATGCTTAGCATGTTTAGAAAACTCAACAACGTATAATTATATATTCCCGATTCTCTATCTCGTAAGAAAAGAGAAGAAAATCGTAGAAGCGTTTTCAATTATTAATAATATAGATATTACCAAAAACTCTGGTTCGAGATTTTGAAAATATCTATGTGCAATAGTTTGTTATGTGCATGATTATTAATATTATGTAGGCAAGAAGTTAGGGAATCTCTGAGCTAGAGACCAGTAAATAAAAGAGGCGGAAATAGCATCTTCTGTTCAGTTCCAAGGACCAAACTGGAGCAGTGTCTAGGGGCAACCTTTTTTTCCAACCGGCTGATTGCCGGTTGTCGTATATGAGATTAGATAGTACAGATTTATAAGTACATACTCAAAACATTTTCCTGTGTGCCACTTCAGCGCGAGAGCCAAGGACAAACTAATTGTTAATCTGAAGCACATCAACAAAAGTTTTTTGAATCTTTGTAAAGGGAAAGAGGTAAAATAAATTACTACTAGTGGGACGATTTGATTTCTCACATATCATATCATTATCAAATCATTATATCTGTTTCTGTTCTTCTGCATCAGTTTGTTGAAGAAAGTCTTATATACACTGGAATTCATATTACCTTAATGAATCGTGCTCACTAAGAGAAAGCAATAGTATCAATCGTGGCAGAATCATATTACAATTATGAGAACAAAGTATAAATAAAATGGGGTTACAATTAGGTGAACGGATTTCACCACCTATCTCAAATGATTTTTCTCGAAGATGAAACATACCTTTCTATCGAGTGGGTTCAAGTAAAATACAAATAATTTCGTGACCGTACTTGGTACCGTAATCGTACTTAGAAATATGTGAAAGAGTAGTACTCTTGCAGCTTTCTTGCAGAAAAACCCTTAAAATATGAAATCCTGGCCCAAAAGAACATCAACTTTCGATCTGAAAGATACATTAATAAGCGAGGATAAGATTTCAACGAGAAAAGTTGAAATGGGTCACGAGATAATGGATGCACTCGAATTTTAAAATATGTGCGCAAAGCAGAAGCTGCAAGACGAGAGGAGTCGCGTGAGGGCACTAGAGCCAGCGGAGCGGAAGCGCCAGCCAAAGCAGATACGAAGACTAAGGCTTCGTCTACGATGAAGGTAATCGCAATGTAAAAAGATTCCGAAGTATGTAGTAAGTCAATGTTGCCAAAGGAGTCAAAGTCGAAGATGTTAAAAGAAGTGCGCGCTGTGTTAGGGACGACATGAGACCAGCGATGTTAACGGAATAGGATAGAGACGGAGGAAACACGGAGTAAAGTTTCGTAGAGAAAGCAGTACAGTATCGGAGAAACGGACGGTATCGGATGCAGGCGGGGGAAGAGATATAAAAGTCTTAAAATCTCAATGAAACGGGGGGGAGGAATTGACGTTTTTGATTATTTCTTCTAGAAATGATATTGATAAGAAACATTTATTTTAAGTAGCAAAAGCAGGTAGTAGAAGAGTGAGGAGTGAGATGAAAAGCGACGAGGCAAAAATAGGGACGTTACGGAAGGGAGAGGGGGGTTCATCATAAACGCGACATCGGAGGCGAGGCGGCGCATGAAAGCATCGGAGAGGTGTAGATGGTGGAGATATTTGGCACCGGAAGCCACATCGAGAGGCTAGCTGGCAAAAGGAGTAGCAGAAGGAGAGGGCAAGAGAGTGTGGTGGTGCAAGGGATCAAGCACAGAACTGGCAGGGCCGGGCGGCTTCGGATCACACAACAGCTAGCAGCGGGAGAGCAGGAGGGACTGTGGGAAGGACATGGGGTGTTGTAGAGAGAGCATGCGGTGAATGGGAGCGAGAATGGAAGCGGCGTCAATGGAGGAGTATGAGAGCCGCAATGGGAGGGGAGGCCATGTGGACAAAGCAGCAGGAGGGAAGGGGGTAAAGCGGTGGGTTGAAGACTTCGAGGGACGATGTTCTACTTAGGATCATAAGAGCAGGAACAAACGCGTGCGGCCAGGCGGGTGGCGGCCGAGGGGCGTTGCCCGAGCGGGCGGGGCGGGGCTAATGAGAAGCCGCGCGTCGCCGCTGGGCCGTGCCGCGAAGCGCCGGCATTCCTTTCGCGGGGCCGTGGGCGGGGCGGGGCGGGAGGATTGCTACCGGCGCCGCACCTGCCGTCTTCCCGCGCCTAATTGCTCCGCGGGCGCCCGCTCGCGCGTCGCCGCCCCCGCGCCCACACGCCCACCCACCCCCACCTCCGGCGAGGCCACCCGCGCAGTTCCCACCACTCTTCCTGCCCCTGCGTGGCCCCTGGCGTGCGGGCTTTGTAGCGGCGATGTCGCCTGTTAGCGAGTTTCGCTCAAATGCGCTACCGCTGTATACGCCCTGCGAATCGTTTCGGTTATTGCATGGAACACCGAGGTCCTTAGGGTCATCTTACAGCAAAATGTCGACCCAGGGGAACTTCTATCATCCTTTTCCCCATATCATACTTGTTATTAATACTGTAACACACTTATTTCAGATATTATTTTGTTGTGTTTTAAAATACTTTGCTTATATAGTATCAATTCATTTCATCGCTGTTTTCAGTACAAGAAAATTCTTAGACAACACATATCCTTCGGGAATAATGTAAAATGGGAAAAACGTAGAAGTATTGGAAATTTAATTTTTGCGCATCACTTATTTTCCCCTTTTCCATTGCTACTGTTTTTATGTTGCTTTACAACTTTTTCCTTTCTCATTTTAGTATATTTGAATATTAACGGCTTCAAAACATCGTCTTGACACATATTTAATTTAGCTAATATACGCTCCATGCTTTCTTCACGGCTCTTGAATTTCGTATTCGTGATCTACTACTCTTTATTACATTATCATCTACTGGTATTCATGTGATTTAAACAGCAGCATATGCAAGCATCATTAATTGCTATTTTTATGCGTCGCTTTATTGTCGTAGATGTGTTGTAGATATAAGGAATAGAGAAATACGCCATGTTAGCAAACAAAACGAAATATTAATTATTACCACAGAATAAACTCCATGATTTTAATTCAATTCAATATTAATTACATAGTGAACGTATTAAATATTAAAGCATTCTTCCACTCCTTTATAGAATTCACATTTTGAGAATCTCTTGGGATATATATACTTGCAATGCATTAAATACGTACATATGAAATTCAAGTTTGAGTTGATCAATAACAAACGTGAGTAATGCTACACTTCCACACAAACGTTTTCAAAATATTTCGCGTACACTATAATTGCAACCTATCCCCTTTATTTCTTTTTTAAAATTCATACATGGGGGCGCATTGTCCGAGGCTGTACCGCAAGTAGCATTCTTATGTTTCGCGTTGCATTGTGAGCGGCGTAACACCCGCCTTAAGTAGCCCTTGTTGCTCCTTCGGCGCCAGTCCATTGCAGCAGTTTCCGCCCCCTCCACCAGGCAGCGCTTCCGGCGCAGCTGGCGATAATGGCCGACCAGGAGACCGGGGAGAACTAAAGTAGAGGCTGCGGGCCAGGGACAAAGCAAGAAGTTCTAGTAGGGCTAAAGCTCTGCATTGCCTGTTAATTTTTTATAATATTTTAAGAAAATAATCGCACACAAACGTACATATTTTGTGCAATATAACGTGTGTATGATGTAGAATATAAAATATTATATTATATTATATTATATTATATTATATTATATTATATTATATTATATTATATATTATATTATATAGAAGCCCAAAAAACCGTTATTTAATATTACAACATGCCGCATGTTGTCAAGGTTTTCTTTATAATAAACGGATTCACATCTTCGTCATACTTTCTCTGTGACATCCATAATCATATCACACAATTAACATCAATAATCAATCATATCACAACAATGTAACACTGTGATCTCAAGCTCTTCTGGATATACCGGGAAAATATAATATTTCAAAATATTACCAATTCGA